CACTGAAATTGAAAAGTAAGTACTCTATTGGATACCGTAGTGTAAACAACATTTGTTGAGTAAGTGAATAGATGAATAAATTAATGTAAAATATGTATTAAATTTGATGAAGTTGTTGGAGCATGTCGTAATATATGGCACACACCAGATAGTTGATTAAAATACACATCTAACAAAAATTATTCTCAAAAATTTGCTGTACATGAGACAGGATTGGGGGAAAATAGCCAGGAGCAACCTCTGTACTTTCTGCTCAATTTAGCTGTAAACCTACAACAGCTCTAAAAAATAAAGTCTATTTAAAATACAAAAACAAAAATATCTCTGGATTCTATCCTTTCTGATCACTTTCTACATTTACTTTTCCCTAAATTCTAGTTCTGAAACAAACCTCCTTTCTCCTTCCAGAAGCAATGTTGCTACATGTTCATAATGAAGAGAAAAAAAAAAATACAACTCTTCAGTTTTGAACCTACTTAGGGAAAACCCTCATGCAGGCTTTGAAAATCCTGGTCAGATCACCTCAGAAGTAATATGCTAAATTCTACCACTGGATGAAAAATATTCCATTTAAAATATTTTTTTCAATATAAAATACTGATATAATTTTATCATGTGAATTAGGAACAACTTAACTTGGAAAAAATATGACTATATTATATGTATGTAATATAAAAATCACAACCACAAGCACTTGTCCTAGTTTTTTATAAGCTGTTGAGCTAAAGTGATAGGTGTTTCCATCAATTCCTAATTATTTGCTCAATCATTTTATCATCAACTATTGCTCACCAGTGCTTAAGCAGTAGCAGCTGTCACAAAAAAGAAATTCTGGAAGGAAAAATTGCTTTTCTCTTTTTAATCCAAATGATGAGACAAAACAGGCAATTGTACCTCCACTTTATAAATAAAGAAAATCAGATTCCAGGATACAACACCCACCAAAGAGCATTCACCTTGCAAACAGTGGGCTGATTAGCTCTAAAATCAATCCTCTTTCCCACAATACCTCCTTCCCATATAAATATAACTGAAATTTAGAGCAATGGTTTTCAACTTAGGCTGCATATTAGGATCACTTTGAGAAGAAGTCCAATTATTTGCATTTTTTAAAAGTCCCCAAGTGATTTAGATACACAAAAGTTGAAAACCACTGATTTGAGGTCATAGACATAAATTATTAAACTGTGTAACAAAAGTTTTAACAAAATGTATAGAACTTTTTACCACATGGGAATGGTTTGCAGAAATTCTGAGTTATTGAGTCTACTTTTAATAAATTTCCTCTCTCCTGTTCACAGTCAAAATGCCAGTATATTGACTATTATCATCAGTTTGCCCCCATCTAATGACTACCACACTCTCCCCACTACCACCATTCTAATTTGCTGTAATTTGCTGTGCTCTGAGACAAAAGAGAACTGAGCTAATTAAAACAGTGTGTAAAATAAAAGCAAATAGGCTCTATGTGAGAGCCTACCTTATCAGTAAAGTACAGGAGCTTTTAGTTCATGAACTTGGTGATATCAACTTTGGTTACTCATGGGCTTCTTCTGATTAATTTCTGATTCTTAACTTTGTTCCTGATTCTTGACTGTGTACAGTTCCTGATTCTTGTTCCCAATTCTACAGTTATACATAAACTACTATATCATTGGGAAATAATTATTCCTTCACATCCACCTCCCTAACTAGATTATGAATTCCATGAGGTCAGGAGCCACGTTTTATTCATCTTTGTACCCTAGTGCCTATCACAATGTCATGCACACAGCAAGCTTCCAACAAATGTCTGCTTCCTAAATGACTCATGTAGGCTGCAATGAGTGAAGTTTAATGACATTGTGACAATATGGACATAATCTTTCATTAGAGAACAAGTAGTAGCTCTAGGCTATATGGCTGCTGGCTGCTCAGCCAGAGCATGACAGCATGTCAGGACTCTGGTCGGGTCCCCACACAGGTACAGTGTATGTGTTCTTAGCTCTGCTTATTTGAATCAATTCAGCTTAAGTATTTATTGGTTCTGACCACTTGGGATACAGTGGTAGACAAACAGCGTCAGATTATTCCACCTCCACACTTATCCCTTAAATGCATCTACTTCTCTCTGTCATCACTGCTGCCACTCAAGTCCCAGCCAACATCACCTCTCAGTTGAAGCATTCCACTTCACCTCCCTGCTTCCATTTTTATTCCTTTCTAATTCATTCTTCACAATGCCACCAAAGTGAACTTTCTTTAAAATGCAATGTTGATCATATCACTCTTCGAAGCCTTTTAAAGCCTTCCATCTGCCCTTAAGGTAATGTCTAAACCCCAAAATGGCTTAACAAGCCCAGCCTGATCAACCTCTCCAGCTATATACACAGCTCACCACTCACTACGTAACAGTCTTTAACCATTGTAACCTACATAAAATTCCACTATTAGACCATGCTGTCTTCCAGTGGGAAACTGCTCAGGCATGGTAAGAAAATCTCAACAAGTATTTAAAAAAACTCAAATTGTGGATTTAGTTCTCCAAAGCTAACAAGCTTAAGGCCAATTATTGACAACTATAGTCATCTAAACAAGTGTTTCCTCTTTGGAAAGGAAGAGTGGAAAACACAAATGAGTAGTCCTGCTGCAGGAGGAAAGTTTGAACACAGTAGCTTCTGGAAAAAGGTATCAAGCTCTCCATGTCCTGGTGCCTATTTTCACCCAGCTCATAGTGACTGCTCAATAAATGTATGTCAAATGAACAACCACAGTGAATTGGAAGTGAGAAATTCTAGGGACAGAACAATCAAGAAATATGAAGGGGAGTGGGCATGTGTCCCACTTCTGGCCAAAACAGATTCAAAGAAGGGGTTGCTGGAGGTTTCCAGGAAGGGTCTTCCTCATTCTTATAAGAAATCATGGAAAGCCTATTTCTTTCCGGCAGGACATGAGGCTGCATGTAGCCCTAGTTGCTACTGGCTATTTTGCAGCCATTCAGTAAGCTGACACTGTGGACAACAGAGGCAGAGACTCCCATCTTCACAGCCAATCTTGAACGTGTGATCCCTCTACCTAAACTTCCAGTTATATAAGCCAATAAATGTTATTATTTAAGTCAGTTTGACTTTTACTTGCAGCCCAAAGCCATGTAACTGATACTGAGAAGCAATAAAGGAAAAATCATTTTGAAGATGATGAACACCACATGTCATCATTTCATTTTGTAGCCTAATAAGAAACTAATCTGAAAAAAAAGAAATCACTGTTATAAAGGAATATAGATTTTCAAGTGCAACTGGTAAGGCATAAAACTATATCAAACAATTCAGATGTACTTTCTGTGAAAAAGTATTCAGCTCTCACTGGGTAGAATTAACAGTAGAGCAGACTCTACAGAAGAAAATACAAATGAACTGGAGGGCACAGCAATATAAAATATCCAAAAAGAAACACACAGAGAAAATGATTGAAAAAAAAATGAATAGAGCATTGTGAGCTATGGGAAAACATAACTGGATCACAATATATGTGACTGGATTCACTGAAGGAGAGTGGGAGAGGGCAGAAAAAATACTTGGAAATAATCGTCAAATTTATTTTTCAAATTTGATTAAAAACTATAAATCCACAGATTTAAGAATGAACAAATCCCAAGAACAAGGATAATGAAGAAAACCACACCACGGCACATCATAATCAAATTGCTTAAAACCAGTGATAAAGAAAAAAATCTTCAAAGCAACTACAGGCAAAAGGCACATTTTGTACAGTGGGAATAAAGATAAAAAATGATAGCAGACTTCTCCTTCGAAAGAATGCAAGCAAAAGACAGTAGAACATCATCTTTAAAGTAATGGCAGAAAAGAAAAAAGATCAACCTAAAGCTCTACCTCTACTGAACATTTCTTTTAAAAGGAAAGCAAAATAAAGACTGCTCAATCATATACAAGTTTAAAGAATTCACCAACCACAGACTCACACCTCTGGAAATGTTAAAGAAAAAGGCACAAGGAAAATGATAACAGATGCAAATATGCATCTACACAAAAGAATGAAGAGGCCCAAAAATAGTGTTCAGAGGTAAATATACAAGCCTTTCTTTCCTATTTTAAAAATCTCTTCAAAAGATACTTGAATGTTTAAAGCAAAAACAGTAACAATACCTGGTGGAGCTTATGACATATGCAGAAGTAAAATGTATGACCACAATAGGACCTGAGGCCAAGAGGAAGAGGTGAAGAGGTATACTACTTAAAGGCAGACTATGATAAGTTAAAGATGTATATTATACACCCTAAAACAATCACTAAAAAAACAAGAATAGAGTTAAATCTAATAAACTAACAAAGGAGAGAAAATGCAATCATAAAAAAGTGTACTCAATTCAAAAGAAGAGAGAAAAAGAGGAAAAACAAAGAACAGATGTGATAGGCAGAGACAAACAGCAAGACAGATATAAACCTAATCAATAATCACAGTAAATTAAAGTGGCCTGAACACCCCAAATAAAAAGCAAGACTCACCTAGATGCTGCCTCCAAAAAGCCCACTTTAAACAAAACACACAAGTAGGCTAACACTGAAAGGAAGGATGGAAAAACATCTATCATGCTAACACTAATCAAAAGAAAGCTAAAGTAGCTATATAAATACCCGACTAGGTTCAGGGCAAACAATGTAATCAAGGATAAAGACAGTCAATTAATAATGATAAAAGAATCAATTCACCAAGAATACATAATAATCCTAAACATTTATGCACCCAGTAAGTCAGCCCACCAAAACAAGAAAATAGAAAGATGATTTTCATGGTTAAAAATGCAGCATCAGCGTCCCTGAATCAAAACTGAACGTTGCCAAAATAGAGCTTAGGATCTTCTTTATAAGTGGAATGCAATCTTACTAATAAAAGTGCAGTATTCCCCCAAAAGGTCAAAGGTGGTAGTGTGTTAAACATCTTATCCAAGCATTTATGACCTCAATGCCAAAGCTGATCAAGGTGATCTAAAGCTGACTCACCTTTCATAATTCCTATCTCGTGGTAACGCAGCACCCCAATGTCGAAAGTCCATGATTAACATAAGTAAAAGGAGACAGGATATGAAGAAGAGTCCTAGGAATGCCACCCGTTGACGGAGAAAAGGGCTCGCTGTGGGTACAGTGAAGTACCAGGAGGCTGGGCAGAGGTAGGAAAAACTGATCCTGAAACAAGACAAACATTAGTAAGAAAAGTCTTTACAACTGAGTGCCGAAACGTGGTTTTTAAGCTAGATTAAAGCCTTTGCTAATAAAAGCAAAAATTCTTGCCACCAGAAGTTGAAGTGCTTTTTTAGAATCAAGAAAGGTTCATGGTGTTTCTACTGTATAAATCAGAAAAGCTTTATCTGTTCTTTTCCCAAAGTGTGCATTTCTGGGTACAAAGAATTAATCTCATGTTGATGAAAAGATCACCAGTCTCCCTGGACAACCTCATAACATTGAAGAATCAGAGTGGTGATAACATTTTCACCAAGAATGCTGTCAAAATATGAGTACTCAGAAAATTTATTCAACTGATTTTTAAAAAATATTTAGTAGGTTAAAAAAAATTATTTGAAAGGATATATGATAAAAAGTGAGCCTCTGTCCTAAGCCTATCATTTCCCTCTCAGCAGCAACCATTGCTACCCACTGTCTACATATTTTTCCAGGGATATTCCATATAAATATAAGCATATATATCATATATAGTAATATATCTGTGTATCTCCATTCCCTTGATTTCACACTATACCTACAGCTCTGTGTCTTTCCCCACTCTAGTTGATAACTGCCCCACCTGGTACAGGTAGATCCACAGATCCACATTAATCTTTTCTGAAAGCTTCAGAGTAGTTAAGGTACGGATAAGTGTATTCAACTGTGAAATTCACTTTCTATATGGTCTCAAAAGCACCTGTCTGTCTTCAAAGTTAATTGCAAAAACAAACAAAACCTTTACTAACCTCCTCCAGAGTCACCTAGCCTCACTTGAATGGAAATTTTGAAGAATATTACAATCTAGCACTTTTCAGAACTGAGCAAGTACTCCATCACGCTGGGGTTACAGGCTGAAAACTGTTGCTGTATCTGCCTTCAAAGGTATGCAACTTTGATCTTTGCGTTCATTTGACCAGGCTGCTAAGTCCAGATGCAGCTCTAGGGCAAACCTCACTTCGAACAACCTCCGAGAGCCCCTCAACCTACCTGCCACCCACAGACTGAGCCCCAGCTCAGGATAACGTCCGCAGCCTTACCTAGCCATGGGTTTCCTTCAGTGGTCTCAACGACTGTCACCTCATTTTCCTTTTGCCCTGAGAAGGTGGTCTCCTTGTCCCAGACATCTCCTAAGTCAGCAGCCTGTAAAGAGTTGGTTGGATTTCAGGCTTACTCCCAGCAGTGCCCACGAGACTAGACCTCCACGAGAAGGCCACGAGTGGCGCTCACCCACTCTCCGGGCTCGCACTGCAGATCCGTCCGCTCTTGTTCCTGGGGCCCAGCAGACCCTAAACCGGCTCCCTGGGAGCGGATGTTCTCGAGCACCAGTGGAACCGGCTGTCCCCAGGTGGACGAGGTCGGAGTGCCCACTTCCCCTCTCTCCGGACTCGGTAGCCGGCTCGCGCTCACACTTACCGGGCGAGCTGCCCGCGCGTTCCCTCAGCACAGCTCCCTTCATCCAGAGCTGCTCCCCCGGCCTCTACCCCAGTCGGAAGGAGGCCTGCGCGGGCGGCTGCGCCACGTCACCAAGGAAACCTCAGGGAGCCAATGATTGACAGAGGACCCGCGGAGAGGGGCCCGCCCGCTGCCCAGAGGGAGTTCCCGGCGAACGGGCTCCGTGGGCCGCACGTCCGTTCTCCAGGGTTAACCAATCCCCAAAAGGGTTCGCCCTCTAATGCCCGCCCCGGGATTGCGAGCGCGTCCAATCCGGAAGGGCGCCGTGCCGTGGCTCCACCTGGAAGAGGCGGTGGTGCAAGCAGACGAAGGGTGCAGAGCTGCGCCGGGGTGTCCTGCGTCAACTGTCCTCTCGGGGGCGCGGATTGTCTACTGGCTGCTTCTCCACGGCCGCTTCCAGGGCAGAGCGGCTCGGGTGGGAGGGTGTCGAGGTGTCCGCGACAGAAGTGTATCGTATTGGAGGTTTTGTGTCCACCGGCGCTGCCCGCCAAATGGCTGTTTCCCCACTTCCCCGCTGCTCTATAGCCATCCAGACTATGCCCGGGCCTTATTTTTTTGGTCCTGTAAGAAAAACATAAATTGGGGACGATTGCGTGTACACCGACGCTCTCATATCCATTCATTCAACTTTCATTGAATGTCTACTGCCAGACGTTTTGAGCGGCTGTTCCCTGCCCTCAGGACCTCAGAGTAATACACACAAAGGTAATGTGTCTTTCTTTCTTCCCTGCTTACACATCAGCCGTCTCTCATTTCCAGGAGAGCCCCTTGGTCAGGATAAAGTCCAAGTCCTTACAAACGTGTCACGTACATGAACGTCCACGCATCTTCTGCTCCCCACCTCTGTTATTATGCTCCAGCAACGCACCTCTGTGAGGCTTTGCTCATTCTGTCTCCTGGACCCTTACACCTCCCTTGACTATCCTTCCCCCTCCTCAGCCAAGCCAATTCATACTCATCCCTTACCACTGGGCTTACAGGTCACCTCCCCTAAAAGTTTTTCTTGACCCACCCCTTCTTTATATATGCCTATTGTTTCACTTACCAGATTGAATTACAATTACATGTATATGTCTGTATGTCCCAATAGACAGAATATCATTGAGGGCAGGATCTGTCTGCCACATGAATGTTGGGCACTGCCTGGAACAACTACATAAGTGAATGGATGACTGGCAATAAATGAAGACCACCCTGAGGACTTAATAATACGGGTGAATGTTGAAACCACTTTGTTGTTTATGTGAAACATAAACATCATAAGATCGTATATCAATGACACTTTAATAAAAAAAGTAAAATAAATTTAAAAAAATGAAGACCACCCAAATGAGATCCAAAAAGAGGCTATTTATTCTATGCCTGCTGTAACAAGGCAGTCACCTACCATCACCTGAGTCTGGCAGAGACCCAAAGGCTGTCAAGGAAGAGGGAAAGCTTAAATGGAAAAAAAGAAGAAGGCTTCACTCTGATTTGAGAGTATTAGCACGGGAAGCTGGAGCCTGGGTAGCTGGAAGCAGTGCATCTTGTGTAATGGTTTTTGGGGAGCATATTTGGCTTTATCTAGTTGGTCCTGAGTTGGAAGGGCAGGGAGCAAAACAAAGAGGGAAGCTGACAGTCGTTAACTCCGCAGAATTTGGGCTGACTGCTGCAGGAGTTGTGGGTCAGAGTTCTAATTGTCATATCTGGTCTTGCCACTGTCCAGTTTGTATAGTCAGTCTCTCACGACTATTATTTATTCCCTCCATTATCCTCCCGACCTGGTTAGACTTCCCAACTTGCCTTTCTCCTTCAAGTCTCAGTTTTCACTTTTCTTCTCTGTCCCTCAATCCCTCCTCTGCTTCACGGGTTGTATTTCATCCAGGCTCCCAGAAACCACAATGAACAGAGAATGGTTGCATAAAGGTAAGATTAACTACATAATTATACAAATATCAGGTATTATTAGTCCAGTGCCTGTTTCAGGTAGAAATGAAAAAAACTCAACAAATGTTTTAGAATAAATTTCTTTTTAATTCTTGAAGTTGCCTGTCAGCTGTGTAGTTCTAAGTCTGATTTGTATTATTTCCAACTCCAGTGTCCCACTAAATGAGTGTTTATGAGTGGAAATAGAATTCCTACTTATGGTTCAAACAGTACTTAATTCATATGGTTTATGAGCTATGTTAGCTTAGAATTTGAAGGTGTATTGAAACTTCTCTAATTTATACTTCATAACTACTATTATAAAACTGAAAAGAAACCTGCATATTAATCCTAACACCTTCTCATTATATTTTCTTTGATCATCTGGTTTAGACAATACTTTTTTCGGTAATTCCATACGCCCTCAGGCAGTTGTAAAGCATGGCTCTTTACAAAGGCCTGCTATGCTTATCTGATAAACAGCTCACAAGAGCTGAGTTATGAGGTTTCCAGTCAGGAGGCAAAAAAAAAAAAAATGGGCTGAGCTCACTTCTCCATCTCATTTGCTGTAACTTAACATGTTGAAACAAATAACAGAAATCCATTATTTCAAAACAGGTTTTTAACTGCTTTTTAAAGTCTTGTCTACAATTACATTTTGTAATGTTCTGAAGAAGTCTCTCACTCTACCTAGCAATGAGCAAAATCAGCCAAATTAGCCCCACATTAGGTATCTGTTGTTTGCATTGCTTTATTTCTCCCTCTCAACTCCTTCATTCCACACTCCACCCTATTAGGTATCTGTTGTTTGCATTGCTTTATTTCTCCCTCTCAACTCCTTCATTCCACACTCCACCCTGCCCTAAACTCCAAAGGAGTTTAAGTAATATGGTCTCCACTTTCCCTTCCAAATTCACTCATTTCCCTTCAAATGTCTTGTAGGCATCTCATTGTCCAAGACCAAATTCATTGTCCTTCCAGCCTTATCCACCCAAACCTCCTCCTTACACATTACCAACTTTGACAAATACTCTGTGATTCTCAAAGCAGAAATTTACAAGTCCTTTTAGAATCTCTTCCTTCTACTTCCTTTCTCCTGTAGGGGAGCAAAATATGCCAACCCAAAATGTGCACGTGGATCATTTGAGGCTGATTATTTTTTAAGAAACAGAAGGCTCTGGAAGAACCTTTGACCTTCCCCCTAACTACCTAAAAGAAGTTAGCAGAGTCTGTTAAACAAATTTCTCTGTGGGTCCCATTGTTTCTGTATGGGCCAACAAATATTTGTTTACCATTTACTTTTTCATCTTCCTGTGAATTGTCTTCCTTCCCTTTGAAGTTCCTTCCCTCCTCCTTAGCTCAGAATGGCAGATAATTCTCAGTTGCATGACTGCCTGTGGGCCTCATAGTCTTATGGAGGCCCCATACATACACAATTAAATTTAATTTTCTTCTGTTAATCTGTCTCATGTAAATTTCATTCTTAGACCAGCCAAAGGAACCGTGAAGGGTAAAGGAAAATTTTTCTCTCCAACAGCCGTTTTTAGTCACTAGCTATTTTTTAGTCACTAGGTATTCTTAATTCAAGCACCTAAAATCCTCTCCAAGATCCTCCGATGGAGCCTTCTTACTGCTGGTCCTGTCTACAGACTCTTGCCTCTCCTGAGTGCCCTCCATTCTGATATAGTGAAATATAATCAAGGTACTTCCTGTTTTAAAATCCTTCTGTGGTTCCTCATCCGCATGGGATATAGTCCAAATTCATTGGCATGGTGTGGTAGGTTCTGCTGACTGCCTTCCCAAAAAGCCAACAATCTCTCTTCTACCTTCTTAACAGAATCCCAATTTTATTCTAGTAAAAACACTCTTCTGCTTGGCCATGTGCTTAAAGAGTGCTAGGCTTCAACAGCTCCCACCCCAGGGAGTAAACTATGATTGGTCTAAGTCAATTATGGTGGCCCATTCCTTCACCAAATAGTGAGCCTGGACATGATACAATTCTAGCCAGTGATACTGAAGGGAAGTCAGCTGTTGGGAAGAATGAGAGGAGGAGGGAAGATCTTTCTGGGAAAGGTTTGCTTCACCTTAAGAACAGTGTAAGTCAATAAAAAGTTTACCTAATGAGAAAGAAAAGAAGACCCCTTTTCTACCTCCAGAAGTAATCTTAAGGTATGATGCCTGGGCTGCTATAGCCATCTTACAACCATCATTAAGCTGCGAAGTTAATCAACATGGGAGCAGCCCTACCTATGGACTTACTAAGATACTTAATTTATTACTATTCTTAATTTTTAAGTCAGTTGAATCAGGGGATTCTGCTACCTGTAGTCTCCTAACTGATACAAGTGGCTTGCAATGCCTGATTGATCTAGCCCTCAACATCTTCCAAGGGCCCCACTAGGTATTCCTACCCATACTCTGACAGAAGTACAGTTCTCATAAATATGCCTTTTCTCACCTCGAAGCCATTGTGCTTGATATTACTTCTGCATAAACACTCTCCAGTAACCTAGAAGACCCAAAACCTCTTGCAATAATGCCACATTTGTCTGTAAGAGAATCAGCATACACAGTATTAGAGACCCTATTCCCAATGGGATTCAGGCTTGTTTCACTCTAATAGCTTTACCCCCATATCCATCTATAACAGCAGGGATCCCAGGCAAACACTCAGGGTTGCCATAAATCAGTGAGCATTCAGCTCCTGTGTCCACCAGAGCCAGGACACATTGGATATTCAATGGGGACCAATCAATTGATATTTCAACAGGTGGCCTCTGGTCCCCACCTGGTCCCCCAAGGAGGGTGCCTTGACCGTCCCCTCAGTCAAACCGTATCACCCAGTTGTCTTCCTGTGAGGGTATGGGTGGGATCAGCTCACTCTCCAGCAGGAAGTCCTACAGGCACACAGTCCCGACTTGTGGCTTTGTCTCAGGCTTCCATTTCTTAGTCCACGCCTTAGCCAACTGCTGAAACCACTGCTCAGATTCAATTGTTGCTACTTCTCCATTAAGATTTTATTTAACTTTACATCCAATTTCTCTTATCTGCTCCTGCCTTTATTAAATAAACCTATTTCTGGGTCCTCATGACCTTCATGGGGCCCTTTAAACTCTTCCTCTCAGTAATGGACTGCACTCCATTCCACACCCCCATAGCTTCCACTGCTCCCAAATCTGCTACAGTATGGGTAACCTCATTTATGGTTGCCTAATTGAGGTGCAAGAATGGCCACTAAGGGCTCAAAGAGGGACAGGGGAGCTGTCTGAAGCACTGTACGCCTCGTCCCTAAGGTAAACAGCTCCTTGTCTGGGCCATGATTTCCTGGGTTATAAATGGCATTTTTCATGCCCAACTCCCATAACACCTGTTGGAGCTCAGCATAAATCTGCCATCTAGTGGGGGAAGGTGGTAAATCACCCAGATTGGGCCATAATTGTAAAGTGTGGCCATGGGCCAATCAAGGAGAGAGTAGTCCCTTGGCGTCTGGTATTCATTTTGTAATTGCAACCACAGGGTAGGATGGATGAGTTGTCAGGGCAGCCAGCTTTCCATTTCTAACCCAGACAGAATAATCCCATCCACCCCTACATCCCAAAGGTGCAGGAGCCAGGCTGACATGGACTTCCAGGGTTTCTGCCAAGATTGGATGCCCAAATCCACCAGCTCTGCCTGAGTATAGAGGCAGAGAATGGAGTGCTCCATGACCTGGGGATGGGCTGTACCTCTCCCTGAGGAACCCTCGGTTGCTGCATCTTTATTTTCTTTACTACTGGACAGGATTTCAATAGAGTAGGAGTTGGCACTTCCAGCACCATGTCCACCCCCTCATCATTGTCTGATGTATCTTCACCGTTTCCAGAGGTGACAGCACCACTCCATCCTTTACCTCTCAACAGCACTTCACAGCCTGCATTCTCAGGCTGCTTCCTCTTGTGCTACCATTACATCCTTTACCCCCTCCAGCACTTCACAGTGATACCCTCTCAGTCATCAACAAATTTTTTACCTCCTCCATGGTACCTCACAGCTTGCGTTCTTGTGGTGCCTCTTCTCATGCTTCTCATGCTTCTCACAGGAGTACATCCTTCTCCTTTATGGCCTTTTTTTTTTTGAGAGGGCATCTCTCATATTTATTGATCAAATGGTTGTTAACAACAATAAAATTCAGTATAGGGGGGTCAATGCTCAATGTACAATCATTAATCCATCTCAAGCCTAACTCTCGTCAGTCTCCAATCTTCTGAAGCATAACGAACAAGTTCTTACATGGTGAACGAATTCTTACAGAGTGAATAAATTCTTACATGGTGAACAGTACAAGGGCATTCATCACAGAAACTTTCGGTTTTGATCATGCAATATGACCTATAAACCATCAGGTCAAATATGAATATTCATTTGATTTTTGTACTTGATTTATATGTTGATCCCACATTTCTCCTATTATTATTATTATTTTTATTTTTAATAAAATGCTGAAGTGGTAGGTAGATGCAAGATAAAGGTAGAAAACATAGTTTAGTGCTGTAAGAAGGCAAATGTAGATGATCAGATGATCAGGTGTGTGCCTATGGACTAAGTATTAATCCAGGCTAGACAAGGGCAGCAAGACATCCACGGATGCAGAAGATTTCTCTCAAAGCAGGGGGGATGAGGTTCTGAGCCTCACCACTGTTGATCCCCAATTTCTCACCTGATGGCCCCCCTGCGACTGTGCCTGTCTTAGGTTGTTCCTCCCTTGAGGAATCTTACCTGTCTCTGGCTAACCAGTCATCTTCCGGGGCCATACAGGGAAATGTAAAGTTGGTAAGTGAGAGAGAAGCCATATTGTTTGAAAAGGTTAGCTTTTTACTTCTTTGCAGATTTATGCCCTGTGGCTTCTATGCCCAGCCGGCCTTTTTTAACACTGTGAGAAATAGCCAAACCATGGTTCCCGCCACCTCACGGACACTCTGTTTCTTTAAGGAATTCCCCATTTTGCAGAGGGCTGCCTCTGTTCCCTCAGGCATCACCTCCGCCTCCCTATGCCCTGGGAAGGGACCCACTCCTCTAGGAGGCAAGCTACCTATGACCATATACCCACTTGGGGGATACCGAGGTGTCATCCATCCATAGGGGCAGCCCCCTGAAGTATCCCTCTCATGAAGGCAGCTTGTTCCATTTTTCCATCTGCAACAAATCCTGCTGACTATGCCAAATGTCTCGCCAGAGAGTTTCAGCTCCGGGCAAGTTCACTCTGGATTCATTGAGACTGAATAACGACAATGGAAAGGAACAGAACATTGGGTGTAAAAAGGGGCTTATATCAAGCGTTAGTCTCATGGCTATAGGTCAAGCACTAGAATCCCATCCACCTCTGCCCCTGCTCCAGGCTCTGCCTTTGTCTCTAGCCTCTGCTCCCCTCTCCCCTGATCTCTTGCTCTCTTGTATAGGCTCTGCTCTTAGCACCGGTGAACCTCTTTTTGTAGCAATACCAGCAGTAATGACTTATTGCCAAGGGGTATACAAATATGCGCCTGCGCAGTAGGCTAAACATTACATCATTGCATGACACAATGGGCCAGAGTAGGATCAGATGAATCCTGGCCATGGCACTTGCATTTTCCCTACAACAGAATAGCTAGGTTTTGGTCCTGAATGGGTACGTTTGGTCAGGGGAGGTGGGATCTCCTGGGCTTAGTCTAGATGGGAGAGGTTTCAACCAAGAGGACTTAAGTTACTCTGCATAATAAAATACAGGAATATTGAACATTTCCTCTAGAGACTGGGCTTGGGGAGTCCTGGTAGATAAAAGAAAAAAAGATGAAAGAAAAGAGGAGGGACCCATGCAAGGTGGTGGCAGACAAGATTGAAGGGAATAGCCCATGAATGAGTCCCTGTATTATTCGTCTAGAGATGCAAAACAAATCACCCCAAAACTTGGTGGCTTAAAGCTACACTAAGCATTATGTCTCACAGTTTCCATGGGTCAAGATTTTGGGAACAGCTTGGCTCAGGGTCTGTCATGAGGTTACAATTAAGATGTCATCTGTGATTACAGTCACCTCAAGTCTTAACTGGGACTAAAGGTTGTAATTCTAAGATGCCATACATGCATGGCTGGCAAGTTGAGGCTAGCTGTTGGTGGGAGGCCTCAGTTCCTTTTCACATGGGAATATCCCAGGGATGCTTGAGTGTCTTCATCCACATGAAAGCTGGCTTTTCCCAAAGTGATCTGAGAGAGACAGAGAGAGAGAGAGTACCAGGCGGAAGCTCTGTCCTTTTTATGATGTAGTCTCAGAAGTCACATGTCTTCACTTCTGCCACATATTATTTGTTGAAAGTAGATCACTGACTCCTAGCCTATATTCAAGGGGAGGACAATTAGGCACCACCTTTTGAAGGGAGAAGTATCCAAAAATTTGCAGACATATGGAAAATCACCACAGTCCCCAAGGCTGGTCAGGGAAATTTCAGATAGTGGCACTGACATGTTGAGTATCTGGACACACATACAACAGAAGCCCAATAAGAACCTCTCCAAGGAAGGAAATGAAATCCAAAGGTGAAACAGTTTACCTTTGTCCCTGTAAGGGTAACTTTCCACTTCCTAAAATATCTGATTATCTCTTTAGCCCAGTTAACGTAAATGCCTGGTTTTTATATGCTAATTATAATGAGTAAGCTATAAAGGCAATAAAGACTAAGGGGTAAAGAGGAAAGATTAAAAGGAGGTAATGAAGAATTGAGTAGTGTGTAAGGCAGAAGACCAGATAAGAGAGCCAGGGATGTGCCTCTAGTAAAAAGGAGTGAAAAAATGGGGATGGGACCTGGAGAACAGGCAGGAAAATCACACAGATAATTCAGGATTCAAGGTTCATGGGAGGCCCTCAACAGCTGCCATAATTTTTTTTTGTTAATGATATTGTTTTTATTGTTGATAATGTTTGCTGCCTCCATAACTCTGGCTAGTTGCATCCCATACTTACAAAGTATTCAGTACCACAAAGCATTCAAATACATATCTACTTACATAAATAACCCAAGCCTCATCCCCTGCTGCAGTGAATCTTCTTTGTATGTCAAGGACAACAGACCATTACATTCTTTGATAATATGCAAGGCAAGTTTATAATTCTAGCCACTTTACTTAAGGAAATATTGAAATATAACTTTGAAAATTATTTTTATTTTAATAAAATAAAATAAACAAAATTAGCATTAAAATATTCAAATTAAATTTAATAGTAAACACTTAAAAGTATCTATGATACAAAGCTCATAAATAAATGAAGTCACACATGGACTGGACCTGAAGTAAGGATATTATCATCAGAAGAAGAGAAGGCTTACTTGTGAGATATCCCACATCTGGTGCTCTGGCCGAGCAGTAACTGAAGGACAGCAACTAGTCACAGTCATCTTGGTTTCTTGCTTGGCAGTTAAGTAACATGATGCCACTGATTTCTGTGATGAATAGATGGACAGTTTTAAAGGAAAAATAGATAGTAGTAATAATATTTGTTGAGTTCTAACTATATGCCTGGTAGTATAGTAAGAACTTAATATTCTTTTTCTGAATGAATCCTCAATCCAACAAGGACATGCTCTTATTAATACCATTTACATTGAAGCTTAGTTCAAGTCATGGACTTTCAGCTACCTTATGCTACTGTCCCCGTTCTCATTTTCGGACAAGGAGTCTTGACCAACATAAAGTCGGGATGAGTCAGGGATAAGGCTGTTGCTTCCTTCCTTATTTAAAAATCATTTTAACTAACTAATTTGGCGGTTTATGACATAGATCTAGAGAGGCAGCAGACTGTGGTTAAAGTTATACTCTGGAGTCAGGCAGAAGAGTGTTTGCAACCTGGTTTCACCACTCACTAGCTGTGTGACCTTGAGGAAGTTATGCTGGTTAAAGCTCATTTTTCTTATCAAAAAAACAAGATAATGACCCAACTGCTAGGGTTGCTGCCCTCAGTCTTTCTCCACAGCAGCCAAAGTGACCTTTTCAAAATGCAAAATTGACCATATTGTCTAACTTCAACTTAAAATTCCACAATGAGATCCAATTGTTTTTAAGATCTGGCCCTTATTTATGTCCCAGGCCTCATCTTAAACTCTGCTTTCCCTGCCCCAACACAGTAGCCTAATCCTCCCATTACAGGACTTTGCAATATGATGTTCTCCTTGCCCAGATAGTCCTGCCTCACTTACTCCTTCTACTGCTCTCCTTACCTGACTTCACTTAACTAACTCTCCTAAAGATCTTATTTCAAATGTCACTTTCAGTGTGTTATTACTCCCTACACGAAGTCAACTCCTAACATAGGCTTTTGTCACAGGCTTTTCCTTCATAGCACACATCCTAGTTGTAATGATACCTCTGTGGCTCTCTCGTTAATGCCTCTGTTCCCTCAGCCCCACCAGAGAAGAGACCGTGTCTAGCTTTGCTCATCATTATATCCAGCACCTAGTTCAGGACCTGGCAAATGGTATTTGAAAGAATACATGAACTAGCAGTACTATTAAGTTTTCTTGCCCCTGCTGAGACTATGATTTTAGCCTATGAAACAAGCACCACTTGGACGTTTGGAACTAGTGTGGTGACAGCAAAGCAGTGGTTCCCAAAGTGTGATCCAAGGACCACCTATGTCAGAATAACCTGCTTGTAAAATGCAGATTCCCATGCCTCACTCCCAGAGATATGATTGGATAGGTCTAGGAGAGGGCCTAGAAATACGCGTGTCTAACAAGCTCCCCTGGGTGATGTGAGAACCACTGGTGAGAAAGCAAGGAAGGGAAGAAAGGAGAAGAAACTAATCTGTAGGATCCCTATTGTTTAATAAATTCTTACAAAGTAGTGGTAAGGGCCCTCTTTCCAGTCCTGGCTCCTGAACTCACAGTAGGGCCTATTGCTTCCAAGAGTGCTTCCCAGAATTAAGACCAAAATCAGGAAAGGGATGAGTTTTGTTGGCATCCTGTTGAGTTGTGTCTCTGGTTACAGCTGCAGGACACCTAGGACTGTTAGGCCTTGGGTTGTGGGGAGGGGATGATGAAACTGGGAAACGCAAGATGAATCACTGTCACCATCTAAGGAGAGAAATAGCAGCCTAGTCCCAAGATCCATGAGTGTCTCATTCATAATGTATTTATTCAAATAAAGTTTACCAAGTACTTACAGTGTTTCAAGTGCTATGCTATTCTGAAATTAGAATGGTATGCGGGGAGGAAAAGAGTAAAAAAGATGCTTCCTGCCCTGATGGGGCTTACCATCTATTGATGATATAGACATTAATGAAATACTTTTATGAACACATGCAAAATTATAACTACTAAGCTCTACAAAGTAGAGGACCTGAGACAAGTGATGCTATAACTGATCAAGTCAGGGAGACCAGGGAAATAATGATCAAATTGGGTCATGAAATCAATATAACCATAAATGAGTAGAGTTTTGCCAAATCTGTCACAATTTTCCCATCTTTTGTTAAAGGATTAGAAACCCTCTCATTTGCAAAAGGATGTGTTACTCATTTGAGTAATCACTTTCTCAAATTTCTGGAAATAACATCAAAAAAGGCTTATCAAGTGACTGTGAATTTTTCTTGTTCTTTCATTTAGATGCATTTTGGTTTTGGAGCTAAAAACACCATAAAACCAGGTATGTTACATGATTTTTCTTAATTGTGAATAAACGCCTGATTCAGTTATTTAGGTCATGTTAAAGTGCCATAAGAAAACATTACAGATAGGCAGAAATAGGCATAGTAAAAAAAAGGTTTGTAATTTCTCTTCAAGATTCAAACAATTAGTTTAAAATTATATATTTGACAGAATTAAAAGAACTTGTTGCCAGGAGATATTAATTTTAATTAAATGAAATGGTTTCCTCAAGTTCAGGGCATTATATATATATTTTTGTTTTGTTTTAATTAAATGTATTTATTTGGAAACAATCTCAAAGTTACCAAAAAACGGCTATAAGTACAGCACAAAGAACTGTTTTATCTGAACTATTTGAAAGTTGCCATCCTAATACCCACCATCCCCAAATACTTTAGTGCCTATGTCCTACATCAGAGACATTCTCCTTCTTTACCAGCATACAGTCATCAAAGCCAGAAATTATCAGTTATACCTTACTACCATCTAATCCCCCAATCCTATTCAGGTGTTGCAGGACATATTTTAAATTATGTTCTGGGAATATTGTCTTACCAGATGAATAAGTAGATGCTTTTAAGAGTGCAGTTTTATCCATTTTGCAGGAATAAACAGCAAAAAAGAAGAGAAGGTAACATATAGCTAGTAGGTGCCAAGGTTACTTGCTCCCATGTAAAAATAACATTTTTGGGGGCAGTATTCATAGAATTCACAACATGCTTCTGTCAAGGTAACAAGGATATGATAGAAATGTATAGAAGATGGGAGGAAATGACTTGCTATAACATTCATGTCCAAATAAGAATACAGGATTTATCATATCAAATATTTTTTCCCTTTGTCTGTTTTACTAGTTGAGAACTGGTGAAGCTAAAGTAATTCTTCTGGATTTTTGCTAGTGAGTTAGAGATAACATTGTTTCTTAGGTCAAAATTAGTAATTTTCTGTTTTATCTTTTTACTTTTAGAAATAAGATCTTTTGGGAGTTTTTTTTTTAATGGTGTTATTGCATTAACTACCCCCTCTCAAAAGAAAGACGTGCAAAGGGAAGCAGTTTATTGCTTAAAGGATGATGAAACTGATGTTCCAAAAGTAGATACCCATCAGCATATCCCAAATAGAACTTTAGTTTTTTAAAAAAAGAACTTTATAGAAATATAATTTATATACCATAAAATTCACCCAGTTTTTAATGGTTTTTAGTATATTCACAGGATTGTGCAAACACCACAATATAATTTTAAAACACTTTTGTCAATTAAAAAGAAACTTTGTGTCTGTTACAGTCACTTTCAGATCTTCCATTTTTGTCCATAGCAAATTTTCTTCAAGTTGATGTGAGGCAACCTAGGCATTGTATAATGACTGGCTTATTCAGCTCATCTGTTGGGTGCTAGCCAGTCTTTCCTATTTTAAATTGAGGTGAAAGTCACATACCACAAAATTACTCATTTTAAAGTAAACGGTTCAGTGGTATTTAGTGCATCCAGTGTTGTGCAGCAACCACCACCACCAAGCTCCCAAACTTTCCACCACCCCAAAAGGAAACCCTGTGCCCCTTAAGCAATTGCCTCCATCTCCCCCACTCCCACCCCTGTCACTGTCCCTGATAACCACCAATCTGCTTTCTAGTTCTATAGAGCCACCTCTTCTGGATATTTCCTCTACATGGAATCATGTGTGGCTTTTCATGTAATATGTTTCCCAGGTTCATTTACATGTAGCATGTATCAGCCCATCACTCCTTTTTACAGCTCAGTTGTAGTCATTGCATGGATACATACAATGTTATTCCATTCTCCTGGTGATGAACATTTGCACTGTCTTTTGCCTATTATGAAAAGTGCTGCCCTGAACCAGCATGTACACGTATTGCTTCCAGTTGATGGATATATACCTAGGAGGAACTGCTGGGTCATATGGTAACTGTTTAATGTTTTAAGGAACTGCCAAACTGTTTTCCACAGCAGCTGAACCATTTTACATTCCCACCAGCAATGTATGAGATTCCAATTCTCCACATCCTTGCCAACACGTATTTGTGTTTTTGTTTATAGCCATTCTAGTGGGTGTGAAGTGGTATAGCCAATAATCTATTGACAAAGGAAGATGATAATGTTTTTACTGCAAGCCTGAATATTAAAGAAAATATAAAATACAAATTTACTTTTGACATGTTTCCTTTTACTTGAAGGCATGATGTTGATCTGTGAAAAGTAAACATGTGCTTTCCCTATACTTCTGGAAATAATGCAAAATAAAAAATTGAGACCAAAGCAGAGACATGAGTAAATGAAAATTGTCACTTAGCTCTTTGTTTCTGACAAGAGAGGGAGCATTGCACTTTGTAGCACATTACTTCCTAACACACATTTTTATAAATCTTTTGAATATCCTAGTCCCAAGATGAATTGATAAGACACAGGACTTGCCATGACTGTGTTGCCTGAATGAAATAAGGCATTACCACTCCCTTTAATATTGAATTAGTCTCTTTTTGCTTGGGGAATCTCCCTTAGAAACAATGTATTTGATAATAGGGGTTGGAATAGATGATGGAAATAAAAACCCACTGCTCCACTGTACAGTATATACATGTACCAAATATCCCACTAGGACCAAAATATGGATTCCTAAAGCTGTGTTTTACCCTAACAAAAATATATGTAAGTCAGAAAAAGACATGAAGTCTACAGTTGTTCCTTTGATTGAATCCTGTTCCTAACAGCAGGATTGCTTGACTGCCTGGAGACTTTTATGTGCCAGGGTGTGGGTAAAATTGCAATATTTACAGAATT